GCCCCGGCCGCGCTCACCTCAAACGCGCCCTTCTTGCCCTTCACTTTGGGGCCGCTCATGTGGATTTTGGGCATCTTGAACTTGCTCTTCTTGCCCTTGGTGGCCAGGTGGGCCTCGGGGGACTCCACGCTCAGCTCTGCCTCGGGTAAATCCACCTCGGCCTTGGGGGCCTTCATGCCGAACCCAAATTTGGACTTTTTGAACTTGGGAGCTTTGATGTTGGCTTCTGGGACCTCCACGTTCACATCGGGACATTCAACGTCAACTTCAGGGCCTTTGACCCCAAATTCTGGGCCTTTCACCCCAAATTCTGGGCCTTTGAGGTCGACCTCGGGGCCCTTCAGGTGACCTTCCACCTTGGGGGTGGAAATGTCAAAGCCGCCCTTCGTTTTGTGGCCTTTCAGGTTCAAGTCTATCTCGGGCATGGAGATTTTGGGGACGTTCACGTGCATTTCGGGCATTTTCAGTTTAGGCCCTTTCACTTTGCCCTCCGAACCTTCAACGTTGACTTCTGGCAGGCTGAGATCAACCTTGGGCCCAGACAGATCCACCTCGGCCTTGGGCAGGTTCACGTCCACCTCGGGGCCTTCGCCCTTCAAGCCAAATTTGGGCATTTTCATTTTGGGCAATTTCACCTTCCCCTCCAGACCATCGACGTCAACCGCGGGGCCCTCGATGTCCACCTTGGGGCCTTTGATGTCCAGATCGGGCCCCTTGAGGCCCCCCTCGAGCTTGGGGCCATGCAGGTCAGCGTCACCTTTGACCTTCAGCCCCTTCAGGTTCAGGTCAATGGCGGGCATAGAGATCTGGGGGGTCTTGACGTGAATCTCGGGCATCTTCACCTTGGGCCCTTCCAGGGTCACGTCTGGGGCCTGAATGTCCACCCTGGGGCCCTTGAGGTCAACATCTGGGCACTGCAGGTTCCCCTCCAGCTTCGGGGCAGAGACGTCCATGTCACCCTTGATTTTGGGGCCCTTCAGGTTGAAATCGACGTCGGGCATGGAGATTTTGGGGGCCTTGATGTGCATCTCGGGCATCTTGAACTTGGGGCCTTTGATCTTCCCCTCTGGGCCCTCAATGTCCACACTCGGCNTTTGAGGTTCAGGTCAATGTCGGGCATGGAGATCTTGGGAGTCTTAAAATGCATCTCGGGCATCTTGAACTTGGGGCCCTTCACCTTCCCCTCTGGCAGCTCCACGTCCACCTCTGGACCTTCAATGTCCACCTTGGGGCCGGACACATCCAGGTTTCCTGTCGGGAGGTTCACGTCCACCTCAGGACCTTCTGCTTTGACCCCTGACATCCCAAATTTGGGCATTTTGAACTTGGGCATCTTGAATTTTCCTTCTGGACCATGAATGCCCACATCCGGTGCCTCAATGTCCACCTTGGGGCCTTTGATGTCCAGTTCAGGGCCCTTCAGGTCACCCTCGAGCTTTGGCAGGGACACGTCCACGTCGCTCCTGACCTTGGGGCCCTTGAGGTTGATGTCCACGTCGGGCAAGGAGATCTTCTGGGTCTTGATGTGCATCTCAGGCATCTTGAACTTGGGCCCTTTAATCTTCCCCTCGGGCCCCTCCAAATCCACGCTGGGCACCTCCACGTCCACCTTCGGCCCTTTAATATCCACTTCTGGAGCTTTCAACTCCCCTTCCACCTTGGGGAGGGACACGTCCACGTCTCCCTTCACTTTGGGTCCCTTCAGGTTCAAATCCACGTCAGGCATCGAGATTTTGGGGGATTTGATGTTGAGTTTGGGCATCCGGAATTTGGGACCTTTCACCTTCCCTTCTGGACACTCCAAGTCCACCTCGGGCACGTCCACGTCCACCTTGGGACCTTCCACATCCACCTTGGGACCTTCCACATCCAACCTGGGACCTTTCACGTCAATTTTGGCACTTTCCACGTCCACCTTGGGGCCTTTCACATCCATTTTTGGGCCCTTCAGCCCAGAGATTCCGAGGTCCCCTTTGAGTTTTGGGGCCTTCAAGCCCAGATCCACATCGGGCATGGAGAGTTTTGGGGTCTGAACGTTGAGTTCGGGCATTTTGAACTTGAGGCCTTTCCCTTTGACCTCCGGCCCTTCCATGTTCACACTGGGTACGTTGATGTCCATCTTGGGGGCAGAAATGTCCATCTTGGGAGCAGAAATGTCCACCCCTGGGGCAGAAATGTCCACCTTGGGGGCAGAAATGTCCACCCCCCCTTTGGGAAGGGTCACCTCGAGCTCGGGGCTCTCTCCCTTCACCCCAAATTTGGGCATTTTCATCTTGGGGAACTTCAGTTTGCCCTCAGGCCCTTGAACATCCAAATTTGGGGCTTCAACCTCAACTTTGGGGCCTTTGAGGTCAAGCCCGGGGGTTTTCAGCTCCCCTTCCAGTTTTGGGGCTGAAACGTCCAAATCTGCCTTGACTTTGGGCCCTTTGAGGCTCAGGTCGATGTCGGGCATGGAGATCTGGGGGGTTCTGATGCCCACCTCGGGCACCTTCACCTTGGGGCCCTTCAGGTCCACATGGGGAACCTCGACTGTGACATCGGGACCCGAAACGTCCACCGCCCCTTTGGGAAGGGTCACCTCGAGCTCGGGGCTCTCTCCCTTCACCCCAAATTTCGGCATTTTCATCTTGGGGAACTTCAGTTTGCCCTCGGGCCCTTGGACGTCCAAATCTGGGGCTTCAACCTCGACTTTGGGGCCTTTGATGTCCAGCTCGGGGCCCTTCAAACCCGGCACGGACACGTCCAGGTCGCCGCTGGCCTTGGCACCGTTCAGGGTCAGCTCGACGTCCGGCACGGAGATTTTGGGGGCCTGGATGTCCAAACTCGGCCCCTCAACGTCCACCTTGGGGCCGGACACCTCCACGCTGCCCTTTGGGAGGTTCACGTCCAGCTCTGGACCTTCTGCCTTGACCCCAGGCATCCCAAATTTGGGCATTTTAAATTTGGGCATCTTGAATTTCCCCTCGGGGCCGTGCACGTCCACTTCAGGTGCTTCAACGTCCACCTTGGGGCCCTTGATGTCCACGCTCGGGACGCTGACGTCCACCTTGGGGCAGGAGACGTCCACCCCCCCTTTGGGAAGGGTCACCTCGGCACTGGGGGTCTCTCCCTTCACCCCAAATTTGGGCATTTTCAGCTTGGGGAACCTCAGTTTTCCCTCGGGACCCTGGATCTCCATTTCTGGGCTCCCCACCTCCACTTTCGGGCCTTTGACGTCCAGCCCAGGGCCCTTCAGCTCCCCTTCCAGTTTTGGAGCAGAAACATCCACATTTCCCTTCACTCCGGGCCCCTTGAGGCTCAGGTCGACGTCGGGGACGGACACTTGGGGGGTCTTGATGCCCATCTCGGGGCCTTTGATGTCCATTCCGGGCACCTCCACCCCAATCTGGGGCCCTTTCAGGTCCAGTTGTGGCCCCCTCAATTCACCCCCCAGGGTGGGCACGGCCACGTCCACTCCTCCCTTCAGCCCCTTCACGCCCATGTCCATCTCCACGCCCTTCAGGCCACCCCCAGGCCCGGCCACGTCCACCTGGGGCCCCTTCAGGTCCACCTGGAGCCCCTTGGGGCTGAGTCCTTTGGGGTCCCCTTCCCCTCTGGGGCCCCTCAGGTTCAGGTTCACGTCCGACAGCGAAATTTGGGGCGTTTCCACCTTCTTGAAGGTGGGGCCTTTCCATTCTCCCTCCAGGGCCACCTCGGGGCCGGCCACGCCCTTGGGGACGGCCACGCCCTTGGGGACATCCACGGTGGCATTGCCGTCACCCTGCGCGGTGAATTTGGGGAAGGTCAAGTGCGGGATTTTGATTTTCCCCTTGGTGCCATCCGTGGTTGGGATCTCCATGCTGGGGACGTCCAGCGGAGGGGAGGGGACCTTGGTGGCATCTTTGACCGCCAAGTCCACCTGTGGCACCGGGGCGGGCGAGCAGGTGACGTCCACCCCAGCGTCCACCTGCGGGGCCGGAGCTTCACCGCCGGCCTGGACCCCGAATTTGGGGATTTTTAACGTCGGGATCTTGATTTTGCCCACGTCCACGGAGGAGGAGCCGCCGAGCTCCCCGTGGGGACACGGAGCCCCTCCGGCCACGTGCAGTGACCCGTCCAGCTCTCCAAACTGTCCGTTGGCCTCCACCCGTGGCGAGGCCCCGGCGCCCTTCCAGCCCGGCAGGCATTTTCCAGTTTCTCCAGCAGGAATTTGGCTCAGGTGAAGCCCCTCAGGTGTCACGGGCAGGTGGACATCGAGG